GTGTGTGGCCACTGCAGTGAATTATCGAACCCAGGAGAGAGGTGGTGGGTGCTTTGGGAGGAACGGTTGGAGAAAGGGCTAGAGGGAGGCAGCATGTCTGGCCTTGCAGTAATAGGCCTTGGGTTACTGCTGGTAATCCTGTCTTCCTCTTGTGGGATTAGAGGAGGTCAGAACATGTGGGCTCCTTGCCGTTTTTGCACAGTGTGCAACAGGTTGTAAATTTCAAAGTGGTTTAAGAGACTGCACAGTCTGGAAAAGTGAAGAGAATCACCTTCATTTCGAAACGAGTGTCAGGCTTATCAGTCCCGTAAGTGGACAACGCCTCAGCAAAAGTCACAGAAGGAAAAGGAACAATCACAGGATCTTTGTCCCTGGGCCAGGAATACTGAAGCAAACCCTCAATGAGACTCTGGATCCCGGTCTGGTCTACAAAAGACATCTCTATGTCAATCTGAAACCAAAATAACATACAGAAACTAACTTGAATAGCCACAATATTTACAGTTACTTCTCTGTTTTTGAGTAACCATAGGATCCTACACATAATACTTAATACATGGGTGGGGAGAATAAGTATTACTGTATATCTGTTTTATGTCAGACACCATGCTAATACTTTTCATACATCACATTGTTTATATCTCACAACAACCTCATGACCTAATGTTCAGACAGGCTAAGTAACTTGCCTGTGTATTATGTTTAGTCAATAGTGATCTCAAATCTATCCACTCCAAAGTGTGTAATTTTTATACTTCACCACACTGATTAATACTCGATCACACGGAAACTAAACAATAATAGTTTTTATTGGTAAGTACACAAATTAGATAAGCAGATTAAATAACAATACATAGAATTATCATTTTTAATGTACAAGAGATTTGTTTCAAGAACTTTATCACATCAGGAATATTAACCCATTGTAGGAATCTGTGACACTCCTTGGCTGATAACTATATTCCTTATAAAAAGAACACATGAAATGGATGCAAACTCAAGTAATTAGTATGTCAACTGCAGGTAACTTTGGTTAAATATCTGATGTATAAAATGTAATGAGAAACAAAGTACATATGGTTGTAACAAACCTGATCAATAATCGACAAATTAATAAAACTTATTACCTGAGTAAACTCAGGCTGTCTGTCTGGTCTTGAACCTTCATCTCGAAAGCATCGGGCAACCTGAAAATATCTACAATTGAAAAATAGCATTAATTGAGTCATGATTCTAGAGAGACACACTTCTCCCCAATTACTCATTTCTCCTGAACACACAAACACATAGCTTTCCTGTGTTATACTCTTCCAATTCTCATCTTCACCTGATGAAATGCAGCTCTGTTCCAGGTCTCATAAACTTTCTGCCATATTTCTCCAAATGATATAATCTCCAATCTCTGAATATCTAGCTTGCAACTCTCAGTGCACTTATATTTTGCTTTATATCAATTCTGCTTTTTATTCTATTCTGCCTTAATAGAATCATTCACTCCATGAGAGTAAGAACTACTCTTTTTTTAAAAAAATCTCCTGCCGTATTTACTAGTATGGAGCTGTGCACACCTGGCCACTCAATAAATATTTACGAAATGATGACTACAAATTTTCAGGGTATTTTACATGTATTCTCTGAGGCTCTCATAAAATGTCTATTCTCTCAAGAGATTAGGTAAGTTTGTGTTTCCCTTTTCCTGTTCATTTTCCTCCCTTTCTGAGAACTGCTAGCATAAAGAAAGCTTACCTATCAAAACCACCAACCATCAGAAGCTGCTTAAACTGCTGAGGACTCTGAGGGAGAGAGTAAAACTTTCCAGGTTCTCTTGATGGTACCACAAACTCTTTTGCACCCTTTTAATGAGAGGGAGAGAGAAAGGAGAGACATTGTCAAAAACAAACACAAAGTATATTTTATTGGTAGAAGTTAATACTTCAGCTCATTACAGAAATTAAAGAGCAAAGCTGTCCTCATAATGAGAGAGATCATATCTTACTCGTCTTTTATACTGGCTTGCATATAAAATACTCAAACCACATTCATTGCCATCAAGTTGATTCTGACTCATAGTGACCCCCACTGTATTTCTGAGGTGGTAAATCGAAGGTTGGGCAATCCTACTTCTGTAGTGATACTGCCTCGGAAACCCAAGGAGGGGTCACTATGAGTCGGGGCCAACTCGACAGCATACAACAACAATAACAACAAATCTTTATGAAAGCAGATTTCCCCTTCTTTCTTCTGGGAGTGGCTGGTGGGTTTAAACTGTCAACCTTCTGGTTAGCAGTCAAATGCCTTAGGCACTACCCCACCAGAGCTCCTTAGCTATTAATAGTAGGTATTAAATGTATGGTTGTTGAAATGAATTCCCAATTATGTTACTAAATAAAAATATTTTGTGTATTATTTCATATTCAAGTAACTCTTGCTTTTCTAAATTAAACTATAGTTTTATAAATCTATAGATTTGATATATAGATTGAATATCAATGTTTAAAACTGTTAGTTCTTAATATTTTAAGGACCCAATTCATTAATGATTGCACCTATAAACTTTTCTTAAAAAAACTCATGTAGAATAAAAGAATTCTGACTCAAAATATTAATTTACGTAATTTTCTCAACTCTTAAGTAAAGCTAGCTAATATAAACATCCTGAAGCAATAAAATAAAAGTAGGTCAAGTAAATAATAAAGCAAAATGGTGCAGTTTCATAGCTAACAGCACATTATTAGTGGACTGATTTAAAGAACATGCATACCCCTGGAGTCTTCTTAAACAATGTTGGCGTTTCTACATCTACAAACCCTAAAAAGAGAAAAACATCAGAATTTAGAGATAAGAATTTGAAATCTGTCAAATAATGATATCTAAATCCAACAAATCTGAGGCTACTCATTAATTAGGAATTTTCACTGAAAGACATTAGCAAGCCTATTAGTGCTAATTTCTAAAAGTCTAAGCAAGCTAAAGATTCAGAAAAGACTATTCTGTTTGTAAGACTGATACTTATGACATGAATTAATTTTAAATATTCAATGAGATCTTGTCTGCTGCACTGTTCTGCTTTTCTAAATGTTCTGCTAGTATAGCAAAAACAACAATAAAAAAAATATATATATAGCAGAAGAAAAATAGGACTTATCAATGTGTTTAGTTTAATCTTTGTATTTCTGAGCTGCCAACAAATGACATACAGGCATGATAAAGAATTAAGGAAAGTCAGAGAAAACAACCAAAAAGCTATCCTATGTTTAAAAGCGGTAAGAAATAACTCTATCACGTAATGTAATAGGCATAATGTATCACCTTTAAAAGGATGTATTTATAACCTGGGTACTAGTTACTACATTATGTTCTAGGACAAAATACCCTGGAAATGAATCATTCCTCATAAAATGCCTTATATATTGAGGGAACTCCAGGCCTCTGGCAACATTGATCCAAAGATGCTAAGGAAAGGATGCAATACAAGTGCTGTATAACAACGAAGAGATGCTCTAAAATGGAAAAGAACATTCAAGCATTCCCTTACCATGCAGATTACAGAGGTATTCTCGCATTTTCATGACCATCTGGGACCTCAGTCTCAGGTTATACTGCATTTGGAAACTCCGCAAATCTAGGTAGCGATACTGCAAACGAACAGCCTCTGTTTTCTGAACAAATTTAAAGATTTTTATGCTTAAAATATTTTTACTGAATATTGAAAAGATATTTAGATACAGAATCTGAATTTTCAAAAACTAGCTCTACCTTCAGCTTACACCACTGTCAAGTAGCCCTCTGTTTGCTGTTTCCATTTGTGTAAATATCACCATTCCTACAACTTCTGAGTTTGTTACTAGTGCAGATATTTTTTTACTGTGCATTATTATTAATATCACCCTGCACTTACTGAAATTTTCCTCTTTTTTCTATCATTTTGCATCCACTTAAGCCTGTAGTTGAGTCTTAAAAAAAAATAAATTTAAGGATTTTGAATATCTTTTTTAAAAGATATGCCAGAAAAAAATATAGCTACAATCTTATCACATAAATAGGACAGTAATTCCATGTGTAAGAAATGCAAGGGGACAGCAGGTGGATTTGTCTCAGTTGCACTAGTAGAACAACTGTAAGGAATATGATGAGAAGTTTTGTTTACTTTCAAGGCTATAAATCCCTGGATCCAGGTCTGTATTGAGAACTCAAAAAAGTAAGTCTTTTCTCCTAGAATTGGTTATTTCTTTGACTAGTTCTCTATCATCTCTTTCTGAAACCTAATCTGGGGAAAATGGTATATTTACTTTTTATTTTTCACAAGACCAACCAATATTGCTTTTTCTAATTAAAGGATTAAATATTGGGAACTTAAATATAAGACAAAGGAGCTCTGGTGGGTGTAATGCCTAAGGCATTTGACTGCTAACCAGACGGTTGGCAGTTAAAACCCACCAGGGGCTCTATGGAAGGAAGATGGGGCAATCTACTACCATAAAGATTTACCACCTCGGAAACTCAATGAGGGTCACTATGAGTTGGAATCAATCCACTCAATGGCAGTGAGTTTGGTTTAAATGTAAGACAAGTGGCTATGCAATTACTATAAAAATCCCTTTATAGATAAGTTTAAAAATTAGGCATATACCCACTGCCATCAAGTCAATTCCAACTCATAGTGATCGTAAAGGACAGTGCCCTATAGGTTTTCCAAGGCCATAAGTCTTTACAGTAGCAGACTGCCTCATCTTTCTCCCACAGAGTGGGTGGTGGGTTTGAACCACATTTTTTGATTAGCAGGTCAATGTTTTAACCACTGCACCACCAGAGCTCCCAGGCATATACAAGTCTATCATTGTGACAAAGCTGAAAATTTATCTGGGTGTACTTACCCAGTGCTGTCTAGTTTCATCAACCTCATAATATTTGGCAAAGAACAGCCTAAATTATAGTAGTCATACTGACAAGCTTGGGAAAACAAGATTTGTTCCAAGCACATATTTTATCATTGTTAGAAGTCTAACAGTGGTGTAAGGGCCCCTAAGCTATTTCCAAAGTAGTATAAATTTCTTTTCAAAATGTCAAACAATAGCAAAAAAAAAAAAAAAAAACTTGAATAATATCACTCTGAGTTTTAAGGACAGAAAAACATTATAACTTGTCTGAAAACAGTCTGGGTGTTTAGGAATTGCAAAAACTAGTAAAATGTTCAACTCTGTAGTAAACTTTTCCAAAAATTCTGAAAACACTTTACTGGTAGCATCAACATTTTGTAAATACTCTATTAATAATAGGATGGCACCTTCACAAAGTCCTTGATTTCAAAGGGCAGCTTCTTGCAGGAATTCAGAAGCTCAGCTGTTTTAACTTTGATTTCAATCTCACCTGTTGGCATTTTCTGAGAGAATGAGAGACAGAGAGAGGTGGGGGGGGTAGATATTAAAAAAAAGAGAAATTACTCATCAGGACATGTACGCAATGCCCATCAACATCCCACATGTAAGTGTGCTTATAGTGGATTAATGTCTAAAGCATAAACATGTCCCCATGATTTTGATATTCTTATGCATGTTTGTGGCTGATGTGCTTATCAATAAATGCCTTACCATGCATATTTACATGTGTGAACATTCATATTTGCAGGTGTGTGTTTGTAGTGAGATTTTGAAACCTATAGGTTTACCTGTAGAACTTACAGAGCTCTGGTGCCTAGTAAGGGTTCAGTCTATGTTACCTGAATTTGTATACACACACCAAAAAAATCCCAATCTGTTGCTGTCAAGTTGACAGCGACTCACAGTGATCCCACAGGACAGGGTAGAACTGCCCCATAGGGTTCCAAGCCTGTAACCTTTACAGAAGCACACTACCACATCCTTCTCCTATGGGGCTGCTGGTGGATTTGAACTGCTGACCTTTGGGTTAGCAGCCAAGAGCTTAACCACTCTGCTATCAGCACTCCTTGAATGTGTACACAGACATCGCAAATGCACATAGGTAAAATTTGCAGACAATTTCTAAACTACTAACTGGATTATCTTGTCCTGGAGGTCGGGAAACAACTGTCCCAGACACTTGCACCACAGATTCCACAGGGGCTTCACATAAAATCTTCTTCACAGATGCAGCTGACTACAAAATAACAGGAGGAAATAAGTTCCAAGAAACAAATGAACTTAAAAAGAATCAGTAGTTACTGTAATCTATAGTTTAGAAAAACTTTAATATGTTGTAGTTTCACTGACATAAGTACTGGGGTTGCCCTTGATGACTTTATTACAGAATTTGGTAAACTGAGGATCCCATGTACTCGTCCCTAGGACTAATTGTTTCCATGCATCTTTGATTTTCTTCATTCTTTTTTGCTCTGGAATAGGACAGACTAATTGTTCCATCTTAGATGACTGCTTGCAAACATTTTAGGCCCCAGTTACTACTCATGGGAGCAGGATGTAGAACAATATTTATATATATGTTATGCCAATTGAGCTTGATGTCTTCTTGTGACCATGGTCCTAAGCCCATAGGCTCAGCAACTCTCTTTCTCATGGTGTCTGACTGTCGCCAAGAAGTTATCATAAATTTGCCTCCTGTTAGCTCCATTATATATCTGGACATTCTTATAACACATACAAATTATGGAGAAATATCATGCCAAACTTATATATGGTCATGGGTATATTCATTCCCTTTTGCCTACCGATATCTGATCATTTTGTTGTCCACCTATGTACCCACCAGTAGATTAATGTTTATTATTATTGATAATGTAGTACTGTATATATAACAGTACTTACTTTTGTTATCTGTACTTCTACCTCTTGTGTACCTTTCCATGTCTTCCTTTTCCTTAGTGTTATTGTCACAAGTTTTTGGTATATTGCTTTTCCCTTCACCCAAATCAATACTTGTCTCTTACCTATCTAGTAATTTTCTCTCCCTTCCCTGGTAACCAACAAAGTAAGTTTCCTTCTATGTGTAAACCTTTCCTTTTTATAACAGTGGACTCATACAATATTTGTCCTTCTGTGACTGACTTATTTCATGCAGCATAATGTTCTCCTAGTTCACCCATGTTATGAAGTGTTTTGTGGATTTTTCATTATTCTTTAGTGTTGCATAGTATTCCACTGTGTGCATGTACCATAGTCTGGTTATCCATTCATCCACTGATGGACAGCTAGGTTGTTTCCATCTCTTTGTTATTAAATAGTGCTGTGATGCACATGAGTGTGCATGTATCTGTTCATGTACCAGCACTCAGTTCTTTTAGGGTATATACTTAGTTGTGGGATTGCTGGATCAAATGGTATTTCTATTTCCAACTCTTTATGGAAGTGCCATACCATTTTCCACAGTGGTTGTATCATTTTACAGTTCCACCAACAGTGTATGAGTGTCCCAATCTTTCCACACCCTCACTAGCATTTAGCATTTGTTATTTTCTGTCTTGTTGAACTTTGCTATTATTGCTGGGGTGAGATGCTATCTCACTGTTGTTCTGATTTGCATCTCTCTAATGGCTAATGGGGAGCTCTGGTAGCATAGTGGCTAAGGCACTTGACTGCTAACCAGAAGGCTGGCGGTTCAAACCCACCAGCCACTCCCTGGAAGGAAGATGGGGCAATCTACTTCTGTAGTGATACTGCCTTGGAAACCCAAGAAGGGGTCGCTATGAGTTGGGTCTGACTCGATGGCACATAACAACAACAACAACAATGGCTAATGGTCACAAGCATTTCTTCTGTGTTTGTTGGCTGCCTGAATATCTTCTTTGGTGAAGTGAGTGTTCATGCCCTTTGCCTATTTTTGACCTGGATTGTTTTGATGTTGAGGTACTGATGTTTTCTATAAATTCGAGTGATAAGTCCTTTGTCAGACATGTTGTTGCCAAACATTTTTTTCCCAATCTGTAGGTTTTCTTTTCACTCTTTTGAAGAAGTCTTCAGATGTGCATAGAAATTTAATTTTTAGCAGGTTCTAGTAATCTAGTTTATCTTCTGATGTTTGTACAATTTTAGTTATGTATGACAGTCTATTTATGCCATAACTCAGGACCCCTAAGTTTGGCCCTATTTGATCTTTGATGAACTTTATATTTTGGGTTTTACATTTAGGTCTTTGATGCACCCTGAGTTAGTTTTTGTATATGGTGTAAAATACGGAACTTGTTTCATTTTTCTGCAAATAAATATCCAGTTTTGCCAGCACCACTTGTTAAAGAGACTCTTTTTGAGTTGCTGTTGTCAATTTGATTCCAGATACGTAGTTTTTAAAAGAGTATAATGCTCAAGACAGACATTTTTTACTAGTTAAGCTAAACCATTGTTTGGTTTTAAGACGACTCTGAGGATGTGTTGGTTTAAGGTTTAAAGATTATCTCATGGTGATAGTTTTGGGGATTCATTCAGCCTTGATGGCTCCAGAAAGTATGGAGTCCATAGGAATTTGAAATTCTTTTCTGCATTTACTCCCTTTTGATCAGGATTCTTCTATAGAATCTTTGTTTCAAATGTAACGGTAGCCAAGCACCATCCAGTTCTGGTCTTATAGCAAAGGAGATAGTTGTTCACGGAGTCAATAATCCATAAATTCCATTTTCTCCTCCTATTCTTGACTCTCCTTCTTTCTCTATTGCTCCAATGATGGGAGTTCTTTATTTTATCTAATTTTAATTGCAATTATTTTTTGAGCAAATAATGCCTTTATATAGTTCAAAATTCAAAGGATACAAAAAGATACACAGTGAAAGGTCCATCTCCAGCTCCTCAGTTCAGCTCCCTAGAGGCAGCCAGTATTACCAGATACCTATGTATCCTTCCAGGGATATTTTATAACATATATAAGCAAACACACACACACACACAGACACACAGGGACATTATATTCCTTTTCACACAGATGACTGTATTCTATATGTTCCTCTGTATCCTGCTTTCTTCATTTAACAGCATTGGTCTTTTTTCCACATTAGCACATAAAGAGCTGCTTCTTTCTTTTTCTGTGGCTGAGCAGTGTCCCACTGCAAGGATATACATCTTTAATTTAGTTTCTTAATGGAAAACATTTGGTTATTTCCTTTTATTTTTTTCCCCCTATTTCAAACAATCTTGTAACTAATAACCCTGTATAAAGTCATTTTGCATTTGTAAGATAATTATGATTTAAAACAAGTAGAATTAATGGGCCAAAGGATAGATGCATTTATAATTTTGATATTGCCAACTGCCCTTCATGTTGTTGTTGTTGTTATTTGCCATTGAGTTGGACCCACTCATAGCGACCCCTCCTTGGGTTTCTGAGGCGGTATCACTACAGAAGTAGATTGCCCAACCTTCCTTCCAAGGAGTGGCTGGTGGGTTTGAACCACCAACCTTCTGGTTAGCAGTCAAATGCCTTAGGCACTACGCCACCAGAGCTCCTACTGCCCTGCATAGTTAGTGCCAATTTATAATCCCCAGGAATATACAGGCACTTGCTTTCCCAAATACAGCATTTTGTCAATCTAATGTTTAACTAGTAACTCCATGTAATTTTAATTCACATTTCTCTACTTATAAGTCAGACTGGGCATATTTCATAGGTCTACAAGCCATTTAGATTTTCTTTTCCGTAAATTTTATGTTTATATCCTACTTCATATTTCTACTGGGTCATTGGACTTTTTTCTTGATATTACAGAAATAAGTTCATTGTCTGTGATATGAGTTACATTCCTTTCCCCCACAGTTTGTCATTTGCCTTTTTTGGAAAAAAAAAATTTTGTTGTTGCTGTGAATATGCACAAAAAACAAACACAAATTCAAGTTTCTACGTGTTCAATTAAGTGACTCTGATTACATTTTTCAAATTGTGCAACCATCTTTATGTTCCTTTCTTGATTTATCATTTGTCTCAATGCTGCCTATGATAATTTTCATTAAGGATAAACTTTTTAATTTAAAACATCAAACATACTTATCAAACACATTAGCTGACTCTAGCCACAGCACCAAAGAGTTCAGATAATAGTAGGAAACCTTCTATTACCTCATCTTGGGGAATGACAACTTGAACAAGTCCGTGGAAATCTCTCAGGACCAGGAATGTATTTTGCCTAATTAATGAAGAAAACGAAAATTTTAGGATAAAATCTTTAAGCCTAAAGTTTAAACAGGCAAAACAAATTTCTCATTTTTTTAAACGTCTATATAGTTTCACTAGCTACATTTATACAATTGTTATTTAAGTAGCTTAGTAATGAAAAAACAGATCAAGGTTTCATTTTCAATTTTTTATTTGCTGTCTATACAGCATACTAATGCATCCATATGGCTTATTAATAAAAAGGCAGTTTTTTTTTTTTCATTTTCAGCCTTTATTGGTTTGGGTCTTTACTAAAAAAATATTAAATTTGGAAACATCTGACATCATAAAACCCAAAGATAATTATTTTAGGAATATTATTTTAGTAACAACTGATTGCAATATAAGATCTTCTCTCTTACTGAAAAAAGATAAAATCCAAAATTTTCTGGAAGAATTCCAACTATTAATTTAATATCTCTATAAACACATTCAATCTTAATCTGCCTCAATTTACCGGCGGTACTGAATCCATCCACACAGGGTGACTTCTTGGCCTAAATGAGAAGAACGCAATTCCCCACATGTGTTGGTCCGGGCAACAAAGTTACTGAAATCTTTGGGAAAAAAAAAAAAGGCAAGATTAAAAAATCTAAATTGCATAAACATAAAGACTCTCAAGATCTAAACCTCTTAGGTACTTCAGGTCAGTGAATGAAATTTATAAATTAGATTATGTAATCTAATTTATCTACTATAATACTTACCTGCAAATGCAAGTGATTTTCTTAATGTAAACTTTGCTTTGTGTTAGGAGATTAACATTTTTGGATCACCTGGCTTTTACTTTGATCTAAAATCCTAAAAAGTCCAATTCCTAATATTGCACATTTTTCCTCCAAATGAAATGCGATTTTAGGAATTACAGAATTTTGATAGTATTTACCCAATAGTTCCTAAGGCATTTGACTGCTAACCAAAAGGCTGGTGGTTCAAACCCACCAGCCACTCTGCGGAAGGAAGCCTGGTCAATCTACTTCCCTAGATTTACTGCCTGGGAGACCCAATGGGGGTCGCTATGAGTCGGAATGTAGTCGATTGCAGTGAGGTTTTTTTTTTTTTCAGTATTTACCTTTAGTTTGAGTCTAGTATCAAATAGCCAGTAGAAAACACTATTACAAGTATTCTCAAATGTGAAAGAATATTTTAGTTTTCTTATTAGCAGCATCAGAAGCTCTGGTGTCAGCATCAGGAGTTAAAACACTAGGCTGCTAACTTAAAGGTGGGTGGTTCAAACCCACAAGCCGCTCACCAGGAGAAAGATGAGGCAGTCAACTTCCCTAAAGATTACAGCCTTGGAAACCCTAAGGGGGAGTTATAACCTGTCCTATAGAGTCCGGGGCTGTGGGTTTCATTAGCAGCATTAAGGAGCCCTGGTGGCACAATGGTTAGAGTGCTCAGCTACTAACTGAAAGGAACCACCCACCAGCAGCTCTGCAGCAGAAAAGACCTGGAAATCTGCTGCAGTAAAAGACTTGTTGTTATGTGCCCTCGAGTCGGCCCCGACTCATAGCGAGCCCTCCTTGGGTTTCCGAGGCAGTATCACTACTGAAGTAGGATTGCCCAACCTTCCTTCCGAGGAGTGTCTGGTGGGTTTGAACCGCCAGCCGCCTGGTTAGCAGGCAAGTGTCTTAGCCACTATGTTACCAGAGCTCCCTAGGAACTCTGCCCTATAGTGTCACATGTGTTGTAATCGACTGGATGGCACACACCATTAGTAGCACCAACATACAAGATTATCCTATCAATGCAGTTTTCTTTTTCTGGTCGTTTTACAAGCTTAGGGGAAAAACTTGGGCGGGTGTGTGTGTGTGTGTAGGTATGGAGTACGAGTATTCTGGCTGCAAAGAACAGGGGGAAGCGATGTTCAGAGAACAGAGACTTTCAGTTTTCACCTGGAATTCTCCTCTGCGGACTGAGCACCAGGCTTCTGGAGAGAGAACCCCAGGTGGTCTGGGTGGTCCTTCCGGTAAGTCTAGATAAATCCTTGTATAGCAGATTTAGCCCACAGCGGAAGTACATGTTGGAAACACAGGATGGCGAGAGACGCTCCCAAATCCCAAGCAGCCGGTGTTGGATGGTGGTCAAAAGTCAGTTTTGGATATACTTAAAAAACTGTTAAAATTCTGCGGACTGCCACTCAGCAGCCCCGTATTTCAGACCTCCTCTACTGAACACTCAAGCACACGTGTCTAGAAACTAGAAAATCTGCAAGGTCTTTGGGCCCTCTGGGGAATAAGTAGAGGAAAAACCTTTCCTCTCCCCCACCTCTCAGTGCATCAGTTTCTACTTCTAGTAACAAACCAGGCAGCGGCCAGCAGTGATGAGAGAACGATTCCACATTGCAGCGTAAGGCGGAAGCCCGCGACAACCCAGAGGCGGAGGATAATGGGTCACTAGGCGCATGTCCTTCACTTCCTCACCTCCCCCAAAGCTTCCTTCCGAGCAGAATCAGAAAACAGCGAGGAGCTTGGCCTTGCTTTTCAAATCTCCCAGACTTGGTTGCAGACCTCGGGTTGTGCTGTAAGACGAAGGCGAGCTAACCCAAAACGCCGCTAGGTGCCAGCCCAAAACACCACACCCCTCTAAGGAAGCCACTACTCGATCAGCGAGCGCCCAAGATAATGCAATAAGCCAATCAGGGCGGAGGTTCCACCGCCATGCTTACTACGGGCGGAAATTTTGGGTAATGCTTCGCACCAGTTTACCAAGCGCTGGAGACAAACACAGAGGTAACGAGAAAATGGACAGTAATATTTATTTAGGCCTCTCGGCCTTGCCCTTAATTAAGATGGCGACTTTAGTTGCTTCAATGACTTGAAATCCACTGGGCGCTAAGGAAGCATCTTGCATCGGGCCGCAGAGCGAGTCGGGATACGATTTTAAACGGAGGCGGCTGCGGCTACTGCGGCTTCTGAACAGCGGGATTAGAGAGCTGGCCTTGGCCCCTGAAAAGCCCAGGTGGAGAGGGACAAGTTGCGACACATTGTCCTTTGCCTTCCCCTCTCCACGAAGAGTAGTCGCCTCTGCCAGAGCGAGGGTCGCAGAGTGGGGCAGCTGGTTTAGCAGAAATGTTCCTTCCAGGGTGAAGCCGGCTGGCCTCGCGTCTGAGGAAGCAGAAATCTCCTTACTAGGCATGTCTGTATCTCTAGTGAACCCATTTATTTTGGGGAGAGAGGGAATTTCGGATGGCCATGGGTTTCTCTGGGCTCTGTGCCAACTGTCATTTTGGCGGCTTTTTTTTACTTCGGGATTTTCATCTAAATAGTTTTGGATCCAGACCTGAAGAATGATTTGTGAAGCCGGAATGCGTGACAGCGTCGTTGCGGCATTTCATTGGTAAGCTGCTTTGTATGGGTCGAGCACTGACAGTAAACTATATACACTTTGCGCTGTGTTGTGTTCATTATATTTACGATAGTTGTGTGTGTTTAGATATGTTACACACTTGCTACATGCTTAACACTCGGCTAAGCACTGGCGTCGAGACGGTAGAATTTAGGTACTGGTTGCTATGTGTTAAAGAAATGTAAGTCAGGGTCCTTTCCTTCGCGGACCTATCAAAAGAAAACCAGCTAAGTTTTACTTGTGTGTTATGATCTACAAATGCAAGAGAAATTGGCGGGAGAGCTAGATCTATGGAGATTGGAGAGCTGCTTCTGAGGATGGAACCTGCAGGATGAATAAGATTTGGCTAGACAAAGGGGACTAGAGAAGCCTTGATTGGCAATACACCAAACCAAAATCACTGCCGTGTAGTGGAATCGGACTCATCATAGCGACCCCTCCCTTGGGTTTCTGAGGCGGTATTTCTAAGAAAGTAGATTGCCCAGTCTTCCTTCCAAGGAGTGGCTGGTGGGTTTGAACCGCCAGCCTTCTGGTTAGCAGTCAAGTGCTTTAGCCACTATACTACCAGAGCTCCTAGCAGTGTAGAGATTGTTGTTGTTGTTATTTGCCGTCGAGTCGGCCCCGACTCATAGCGACCCCTCCTTGGGTTTCCGAGGCAGTATCACTATGGAAGTAGGATTGCCCAACCTTCCTTCCGAGGAGTGGCTGGTGGGTTTGAACCGCCAGCCTTCTGGTGAGCAGTCAAGTGCCTTAGCCACTATGCTACCAGAGCTCCCAGTGTAGAGATTAGAGATGGTTAAAATAAACATAGGAGGTGACATTTAAGGGAAATGGGAGGGAATACGGGGATCCAGGAAATTGGTAGATGGGTTAGCTATGGAAAGCTTGTAAGAGAACCTCTTTATGATTGAAGGAAGAATATTGAGATAGTAATATACTGAGTCAAGATATATTTATAACTTATTAATTTGGGGCTAGGCAAAATTACAGTCAAGTCAAGAGTGAGAGGTAAAATAGGCATAAATTATTTACTAATCTTTAATGCATGGGTTGGGTTTTTTCACTAACTTAACATTAATTATTCAAGGGAAATATTTTCTCAAAACCAACCCTCTCAGTGCTGCGTCTTTTTTTTTTTTTTTTTTTTTTTGCTTTTTCCACCTAGATTTACTGCATATCTAAACTTTAAAAGCTTTTTGAAATTCATAACATTTCTCATGAGTCAAATTTAGTAGGGCTTACATTTTCCTTTGCCTTGAAGTTGATCCCTTTTGAAAGGCAGTGTGACAGATGGATAAGTGTGCTTGCTCTGGAATCAGATGAAGTTCAAATCCTGGCTCTTTTCTCTAATTGTATGATTTTGGAAAGTTAAGGAGCCCTGGTGGCACAGTAGTTGAAGTGCTTGGCTGCTAACCAGAAGATCAGTAGTTCATACTGCTCTGTGGGAGGAAGATGTGGCAGTCTGCTTCTGTAAGATTTCAATAAAACCCACTTACCTTCAAGTCAGTTCCAACTCATGATGTTGTTGTTGTTATGTGCCATGGAGTCGGAGCCAACTCATAGCGACCCCTCCTTGTTTCCGAGGGGTATCACTACGGAAGTAGATTGCCCAACCTTCTTTCCGAGGAGTGGCAGGTACGTTTGAACTGCCAGCCTTCTGGTTAGCAGTGAAGTCAGTTAGGCACTATGCTACCAGAGCTTCCTTCCAACTCATAGCAACCCCATTAGACCCCATAGTATTGTCCCGTAGGGTTTCCAAGGCTGTAAAATAAATCTTTAGGGAAGCAGACTATTGCCTCTTTCTCCCATGGAGCAGCTGGTGGATTTGAACCGCTGACCTTTTGGTTAGCAGCTGAATGGTTTACCACTGTACCACCAGAGCTCCTTCTGTAAAGATTACAGCCTTGGAAACCCTGTGGGACATTTCACTCTGTTCTTACAGGGTCACTGTGAGTCAGAATTGACTGCTGGTGATGGGTTTCGTTTTTGGAAAGTTACTTAATGCCTTTGTCTTCCCATCTGTCAACTGAGAATGTAATAACCCACTTCATGATGTTGTTTAAGGAGTACCTAGCACATGATGAATACTCAATAAATGTTAGTGTTTATTCTAAATAACAGATTTAAAAGATACATTCTGTAGGTGGCACTGATTAAAATTCCCTTTAAAATAGATAATTAGTATGCAATGAAAACTAGAATGCTTTAGAGTATTTAAATTGTGCTACATAAATTGTGTAGTATATGATCTTGCTCTAACATTATCTGTCCCTTGAGGACTATATGTTTAATCTATGGAGTTTTGTGCAAAATGCAGAGTGTTTGGGTTTGGAATAATTTAATAATAAATATAACTTTTCACTTTGAAACACTTTTTTTAAAAGGGCAGTTGTCTGTCCTGGTTGTGGGCCCTGCAGGTTACGTAACTTGTCGCAGGCTCAGCGTGCCCTCACTCCATGGCTCCCTGCGACCCCAGGATGCACTAGCCCCACAAAGCCTCCTCTACCGCCGGCTCCTGCCCAAGGTATGAATAACCTTCCACACCCATGGAAGCAACAGGCAAGAAACTAAATGATGCACTGCACTGGGCAAATCTGCAAAAAACCTCTTTAATATGTTAAAAAAAAAGATGTAATTTTGAGGACTAAAGTGCACCTGACTCAAGCCCTGGTATTTTCACTGGGCTCATATGCATGCGAAAGCTGGGCAGTGAACAAGGAAGACTGAGGAAGAACTGATGCCTTTGAATTAGGGTGTTGGCAAAGAATATTGAAAATGCCATGGAAGAATGAACAAATCTGCCTTAGATTTGCAGCCAGAATGCTCCTTAGAAGCAAGGGTGGTAGGACAAGTCTCTGGAGAAGGATATTGTGCTTCGTAAAGTGGAGGGTCAGTGAAAAAAGAGGAAGACCATGAACAAGATGGATTGACACGGTGGCTGCAACAATGGGCTCAAACATGGCAACAATTGTGAGGATAGTGCAGGACTACGCAGTGTTTCATTCTGTTGTCCGTGTGGCTGCTATGAGTTGGGGCCGACTCCACGGCATCTAACAACAGATAACAGTGCAGTTAACCTACAAAAAAAATGGGGGGGGGGAGCAGTTGTGCCAGTATTTGAGAATGAATTTATAACTTTTAGATGATTATTTCTTTAGATGAGAGTTGTATTTTAATTTTTGAAAGTCTATGAAAGTCTTAGGAGTCCCTGGGTGGTGTAAACAGTTAAGTAGTACTTGACTACTAATGCAAAGACTGGGAGCTCTGGTAGCATAGTGCCTAAGGCACTTGACTGCTAACCAGAAGGCTGTCCTCAGAAGGAAGATGGGGCAATCTACTTCCATAGTGATACTGCCTCGGAAACCCAAGGAGAGGTCACTATGAGTTGGGTCGGACTCGACGGCATGTAACAACAACAGTGCAAACCTGTCCAAATATATGTTGGAAGAAAGGCCTGGTGATCTGCTTCAAAATTGCAACCTTGAAAACTGTTCAGTGCAGTTCTGTTCTGTGCACATGGGGTCATCATGAGTCAAAATCAACTTGATGACAACTGACCGGTGGTTGTGAAATACTTCTGTTCAATTGAACCAATACTTTAACGGTTAAAGGGCATTTATTATATACTAGGGTAATTAGACAAGAAGAATATGATACATGGTTTCATTAAAGTAGCTTAGTCTTGCTGAGAAGAAATACATACCAAAAAAACGGTGCAAGAAAATATATGAATGCAGGCCAAAGTAAGTGGTATAGAAGAGGTGATTGAAGAGAATTGTGTGTGCTGGTATATTACTTTTTAGAACATTCTTGAATGGTGTTGTTAGAATCAACTAGAGGACTTTTAGGGCTTATAAGAATATGTACCCATGAGATTGCATTCTATACACACTATACACACTTACTGCCAGGAGTGAGCCAATGATAGAGATGGAAGTGTATAATGTAGGGGAGAAAAGATTTTTTTAAAAAGGACTGGTTTTCAAGGAGGTCAAATTCAACATGGTCTTAAAGGACGTGGAATTATGAAAGAGCACTTCATGTAGGGAATATAGTTGCTAGGCAGAAATGTGGTGACAATAATATATTTGTGACCTGGGTTGGAAAGGAAAGGTGAGAGGATAAAGAGAGACTAAATTATGAAGACCTTAAATACATAGCAGACATTTAGAATTTTTCTTGTCACTTTAAAGATTTTTGTATAGGTGATTAACAACATGCTATTTCTAGAAGAATGAATTACCCATAGATAGAACTCTTACTGAACTAATAAGAATTGGCCTAAGCTAGGACTCTGGAAGTAGATGGGAATGGATGAGAGAGACTCAAAACAGTGTGCTAATGATGACACGTTAAAGAATGGAGGTGAGGTACTACTTATATAAATTTACATTAAATTAGAAAATTGATAGGAAAATTTGAATAATGGACCAGGTGGCACTGGGCAATGTTTCATTCTGTTGTACATTCTGTTGTACATGCAACAGCTAACAAGAACAAGCTTTGGGAAGAAGGAGGAAGGGAAGAAGTTTAACTTAATTCTGAACATACTGTATCTGGGTATATCTGTTATAATATTTATAAAAATGGCCTGTAGCAAACGAGAAATCTAGAACTTGGTTGAATACTCGAAACTGGGTGGAGTAGGGGAAGAACAGGGGAGAGAAAGAATTATTTCTCTATAATGAGGAGAAGAGCTCTGGTAGCATAGTGCCTAGGGCATTTTGACTGCTAACCAGAAGGCTGGTGGTTCAACTCCACCAGCTACTCCTCGGAAGGAAGATTGGGCAATCTACTTCCGTAGAGATACTGCCTCGGAAACCCAAGGAGGGATTTCTGTGAGTCAGATCCTACTCCACGGCATTGGGTTTGATTTCATATTGAGAAGAAGAATCAATGAAACAGCATGAATTAACTTTTTAGTATTGAGAATTCTGGTTTTATTTCTTTTTATATAGACCATGGATCCTTATGATACGTCAGAATTGACTCCTAGACAAAGTACATCCTCAAGCCTTAAAGATTACTTTATAGGTGCCACCCCTCTGCAGAAACGATTAGAATCAGTCAGGAAGCAGACTACCTTTGTCTTGACTCCACCTCGAAAGAAAATTCCCCAGTGTTCACAATTGCAGGTATGATTTCTGTATCCCTTCATGTTACTCAACAATTGAGAATATCCATGTATAAAACACTAACTTTGGGGTATTATTTATATTATTTTTAGATCTTCTTGATCTTTCAGGTAATAAAATAAATGAGAAATAGTTACAAACAAACAATTATTTCACATATCCAGCACCACCTCTGTTGTATCTGGAATTTACCTGGAATGTCTTCACAGCCTTTGTTTTTTATGACATTGACATTTTTGCAGTATATAGTGTTCTTCCTCCTCTTTTAAAATAGACTATTCGTTATTTTGTGTTTGATGTTTCCTCATGATTAGATTTAAGTTAGGTATTCTTAGCTGGAATAATGCATAAGTGCTGTTGTGACCTTCTTAGGGAATTATGCTTGGTATCATATAAACCAAAAAACCAAATCCACTACTATTGAGTTGATTCATAGCATATAGGTGTTACTTATTTTGATCATCCTTTCAAGATGTTGTCCTATTTCTTGTGCTCTACTGTATAATTACTGCCACCTCCTTTTTTTGCAACTAATAAACAGTCTATGGGAAACTCTTTAATATAATGCAAACCCTGCTCCTCATCGTCATTTCTCTTTGCATTTAGTATCCATTGATAATTTTGCCTGACCTAGTGTTTAGCATGATGATGCAAATGATTTCCCGGCTCTAACACTCCCTCCATATTAAACAACCTTTGGCATCCCATTGTAAGTCCTTTTTTTTCCTCCAGTCATTCATTTGTTGATCTCTTTATTATTAGTATGGACTTATGAATTCCTGTTTTTCAGTTTAATAATTCATTACTATATTATTTTGGAACTTTACATGTCCCAGGTTTGGCTGGTGGCAAAATGCTCTGTTTTGACCATTCAAAAACAACTCTAGAAGCATATAACGTTGTTGTTGTTATATGCCGTCAAGTCGGACTTGACTCACAGAGACCCCTCCTTGGGTTTCTGAGGCAGTATCACTACAGAAGTAGATTGCCCCATCTTCCTTTCGAGGAGTGGCTGATGGGTTTGAACCGCCAGCTTTCTGGTTAGCAGTCAAGTGGCTTAGGCACTATGCTACCAGAGTTCCCTATATAACATTAGTAATTTGTAATTTTACTGAAATATGAAGTAAAATCCTATTCAATATGAGTTTGATGTGTGGTTTTGAATCACTCAGCTAATGAGCTAATCACCCAAACCTGTCTTGTAGCCTTGTTCTCTTGTCCATACTGTCCATGCTATATGCTTAGTGTCTCTGGTGGCATACTGGATAAGGCATTTGGTTGCTAACTGGAAGGTTAGCAGTTCCAACACACCAGCTGCTCCATGGGAGGAAGATGAGGTAATCTACTTCCACAAAGATTTACAGCCTTGGAAACCCAATGGGGGTTGCTATGAGTCAGAATTGACTCGATGGCAGTGGTTGGTGTTTTTTTTTTTTTTTTTTAACTATCTTTTGGGATATAAGAAAATTTTTGTGATATCTTAAAGAATATTAGTAGTACTGGTAATGAAAGTGATTAACCAGAGAACAGAAGTTTTAGATAAAATTAGAATGTCCAGTTCAGTGCTTCCTCATATCTATGATACAGATAATTTTGCTCTACATTTTGATGGTAATAAGAATGTTTGTAACTTTCCATGAATGCTCTAGTCACAATGAACATTTTTGTTACATAGACGCCTTAGTGAAACCTTCAAAAGATAGTTTGAACTGTGAGTCTATATCAGGAAGTACAGACTCAAAGGAATATTCAATTTGTGAGAAAACTAGGAGTCAGTGTAAAGACTCTCAACCATATCACAAGGCTAATATAAATGAAGCACTTTTATTTTTGATGATGCCTGTGGTTCTAATAGAGCCTGGCAAAAAATACACCCAAGTATTTGATTCTTTTAACCTATTGAATTAGGCATTGTTACACCTTAAGAGTGAAGTTATTATCAATTTTTTAATTACACAAAGAAAGCTAATCAAATAGGTGCTTTGAGAATAGTTACTATCTTTGACATCTAATTTGAAGTGGCTAAAAGTGAAATGTGAATGTTTATTCAATAAATGTTTATTGAACAGCTGTTGTAGATGATGGTTCTGAGTGCTAGAGATGTGGTGAACAAAATACACAGGATCCCTGCTCTCATCACACCCATACTCTAGTGGAAAGACAATAAAAATCAGACATATATATATATGTATATGTATATATATATATATATATATATACATATACATATATATATACATATACATATATATATATATATATATATAATATCAAGAGATTTCAGTGTTTTAATTGCAGTCAATGTCATGAAACAAAGTATGTGTGAAATGCTGTATGGAAAATGAATTTGTTCTGTAAATGTTTACCCAAATCACAATAAAAATTAAAAAAAAGAGATTTCAGTGTTTTGAAGAAAAATAAAGCAGGGTAAGAGAATACAGAGTAAAAAGTTTGGAGTGGATACAGGTATTGCTTTAGATAGTGTAGCCTCTTGGGTGATATTTAAGCAGAGACCTAAATGTAGTGGAGGAGCATGCCATCTGAGTAGCTCAGGGGAGAGCATGCCAGATGGAAAGTACAGCAAATGCAAAGGGCTGTTCAAAGGTCTGCAAAGAATCCTGTGGCTGGAGTGCAAAGATCAGAGGCCTAATAATAAGATTCTTTTTAAAGTTTACAATATTATGATGAAATTCTTATTTACTCATCTTTCTAATTCTTAAACTTTTGTCTTGATTTTTTTAGGAAGATGTTGATCCTCAAAAGGTTGCATTCCTTCTGCATAAGCAATGGACTTTATATAGTTTAACTCCCTTATATAAATTCTCCTATACTAATCTCAAAGAATATTCTAGACTCCTAAGTGCATTTATTACTGCTGAAAAGCAAAAAGGACTTGCTGTGGAAGTGGGAGAAGATTTCAACATCAAAGTGATTTTCTCTCCCCTCTTAGGAGTGAAAGGAACGGAAAGAGACTCTGAAGCATTTCTTGTCCAGGTATTGTATATAAACAATACTCGCTTCCTAGGGAAAAAGAATACACGTTTTCTTGGTTTGCAAATTGTGGTATTTTCTTACTGTTTTTAAATTCCTAAGCTTGTGATTTATAATGTATGTTTGACTAAATTATAGTAATTAGGGATGGCAAACTAAAACAGATTTTTTTGGGTCTAATTATAATCATGGTTATTATTAGAAAGGAGTCCCAAGGAGGTATAAATGGTTAATGTGCTTGACCGCTAACCAAAAGATTGTAGGTTCGAGTTTACCTGAAGTATTTAGGAAGAAAGGCCTGGAGATCTACTTCTGAAATGTCAGCCATTTAAAACTCTGTGGAGCATGGTTCTTACTCTGTGACATATGGTGTCTATGTAAAGTGGGGTTGACTCAACTACAACTAGTTTTCATTATAGAAAACTTAAAAAATACATAAAAATATAAAGAAAGTTAAAAACCACAGTTTAACATTTGGTATTTATCTGTTTGGCTGTCTATAGTCATACAGTCTTAAAACTGGGATCATAATGCCCATATTTTTGCATTATGGCATTTTTTTCTAATCAATATTTTAAGATAATTACTCATTGCATTAACAATTCTACCTTTTTGTACATGTATCTTTGTATAATTCTGTGGGTTTTACCAGGATTAAATGCTTTCTGTTATCGATTTCTAGTTTTGTTCCAGTGTGGTTGGAGAGGATATTTTGTATGATTTTTAAATCTATTGTGACTTAACATATGCAACCTAACATACAGTCTATCCTAGAGAATGATCTATGTGTGTTCTGCTGTTGCGTGTTCTACACATATCTGTTAGGTTTCGTTGGTTTATAGTGTTCTCCAGGTTCTTTATTATTTTATTGATCCTCTGTCTAGATGTTCTATCCATTATTGAAAGTCTCCAACTGTTGTAGAACTATTTCTCCCTGTAATTCTGTCAATGTTTACTTTGTGTGTTTTGGGGCTCTGTTGATACATATATATTCCTGTGTCTCATGACAGATTTTATCTTTTAAGTTTGTTCTGTCTGATATTAATACAGCCACCATGTTCTCTTTTGGTTACTATTTTTGTATTTTGTATCTCTATTGGCACTTAATTTTTTTTTCCATCCTTTCACTTTCAATTTGTGTCTTTGGATCTAAAGTGGGTCTCTTGTAGACAGCATATATTTGGATCATGTTTTCTGATTTATTCTGCCAATCTGTCTTTTGATTGAAAAGTTTAATCTATTTACATTTAAAGTAATTAGCAATAAAGGAGGGTTTACTCCTGCCATTTTACTATTTGTTTTCTGTGCATCTTATACTTTTTAGTTTGTTGTTTCTTCCAATACTGCCTACTTGCTCTACTGTTTATGATTAGGATTACGTTTAAGATTCTCTTAAGATTTACTAAGAGACCACACTTATTATTTATGCCTAGTGCCACTGTTTCAATCTTTAGAGTTAACTAATCTTGATAAGGGAGCTCTGGTAGCGTAGTCCTTAAGGCACTTGACTGCTAACCAGAAGGCTGGCAGTTCAAAGCCACCAGCTACTCCTTGGAAGGAAGGTGGGGCAATCTACTTCCATAGTGATACTGCCTCCAAAATCCAAGGAGGGGTCAGAGGGGTCTCTATGAGTTGAGGGCACATAACAACAACAACAACAATCTTGATAAAGAAATTAAATACTCAAATAGCTGAAAGGCTTTATTTTTGTTGTTGTCTTGTTTATTTGTATAGATCAGGAATTGGCAAGCTACAGCTTAAGGGCCAAATCTGTTTTTGTAAGGAAAGTTTTATGGGACCATAGGCACTTCATTCATTTACATATCGTCTGTGACTGCTTTTGTGCTACAATAGCAGGGTTGAGTAGTTGCAGGAGAGAGTGAGTGACTGGCAAATCCTTTACTATATGGTCCTTTACAGAAAAAATTTGCTGATCCCTGGTATAGATTATAAGGAGCTCTGATATAGTGGGTAAGGCATCTGGTTGCTAACCAGAAGGTCATCAGTTCAAACCTACCAACTGCTCCACTAGAAGTAGATAAGACAATCTACTTCGGTAAAGATTTACAGCTTCAGAAACCCAAAAGGGGTCACTGTGAATCAGAATTGACTCAATGGCAGTGGGTTTGGTTTGGTTTGGTATAGCGTATGGTGTTAGCAAGGATCACAAGGAGGTCTGCTAGGATTATGTTTTGCTGCACATAGCATCATGCCTAAATAACAGTGGGTTAAGACAGACAGAAGTTTGTCTTGTTAAAAAAGGTATCTGGAGGTAGGCTGCCTAAGGCTAGTATGATGCTTCATGAAATCACTAATAATCTAGGCATCTTCTATCTTTCTTCTCTGTCATGACTTCCATCCTTAATCTCAAGCTCTAAGATGGCTCCTAGAACTCTACATGTCATACTCAGGTTCCAGGCAGGAAATAGAAGGTGATTAAAAAAGGGTAAACAGGGTGTCTGTCATTGCATTGTCCTCTTTAATGAGACCTTTTGCAAGTACTACAACTTCTGTTTACATTCCAATTTAAAGGAAGATTAGAACTATTTTTTTTTTTTAGTGGGTATGTTCCTACCTCACTAAAGGTATGGTTTTATCGTGAAACCTGCCAGCTGCTCTGCAGGAGAAAAATGAGTCAGTCTGCTTCCATAAAGATTTACAGCCTTAGAAAACCTATGAGGCAGTTCCACTCTGTCCTAAAAAGGGTCTCCTTGAGTTGGAAATGACTTGATGACAGTCAGCGTTTGGGTCAGGTGAAGTAACCAATGCCCAGAGAAGTTAAGTGACTTGTAAGTCATCAGCCAAATGAATATTCTTATGAGGATAATAAATGAGCTTTTGAATTCCTAGTGTAGTGTTCAAATAGTTTTCAGGTTAAATCTGATACCTTGACAGGGTTACAGGACTCTTAGGTCATGAAAGTGTGAGAGACATAAAATATCTGGGCTTCAAGATATTTGAAGTATCATAATCTCTTGCACAAGGTGAAGTATAGTAAAAGTAACTGAATTATCACATCTGAAGGGATATGGTAAATAATGTCAAGAGTAGGGTACACCTTTTATGGAGCTACTGTTGACATTACTATCATATTCCTTTAGATAGGATCATTCAAACAGTTACTTTTACCGTATTTCACCTTCTTGTGCAAGAGATTAGAGGGCTGTGATTTTAACCTTGTTCTGTTCAATACTTAAAAAAAACTTCTACGAATATCTGGAAGGTATGTTCGTCACATAATTTACAAATTTAAAGTTTGAAGACTGTCAATCTGCTAGAAAGTATGATCAAGATCCTAAAAGATCTGAATGGATTGTTACAATGACCAAATGAAAGGAGATTAAAATTTTAAGAGGGATAACTTTACTGCTTCAATATAGGTTGGAGGAGATTTGCCTTTTAACAAAAATTTATATAAAACTGTCAACTAAAAACCTCAAAACTACTGTAGTCTGAGCTTACATTGGTAGGAGTCTAACCTAGGTTCAAGATGATAATAGTCTTGCAGTCAGATCTTTTTGAAATAATTATCTTTATTTATGATTATCTTGGGAGCTGTGGTGGCGTAGTGTCTAAGGGATTTGACTGCTAACGAGAAGGCTGGTGGTTCAAATCCACCAGCCATTCCTTGGAAGGAAGGTTGGACAATCTACTTCTGCAGTGATACCGCCTCAGAAATCCAAGGAGGGGTCTCTATGAGTCGGATCCGACTCTACGGCAGTGGGTATGAATAGCTTGCATGTGGAAGACTTTCAGAGAAGAGTGAGCGGGATAGTGTAAGAACTTGAATGTATGTCTTGGGGCAATGGTTGAAGAAATTGGAGATGTTGAATTGGGGGAAGATAAGACTTGGCAGTGTATATGAAACCTGTCAAGTTGACAACTCGATAGGACAGACTAGAACTGCCCCATAGGGTTTCCAAGACTATAATCTTTATAGAAACAGAGTGCCACATCTTCCTCCTGAGGAGTGGCCGAGGTGTTTGAACTCCCTTTCATTTAGCTGCTGAACATTTAACCACTGTGCTACCAGGGTTCCTCAGTATATATGATAGGGACCATCAGATATTTGAAGGGCTTTTCTTATAGATTAGATTCATTCTGTAGACACACAAGGAAGAAAGCAGGATCTGTGGGTAGAAACTATAGGGTCTAATGGATGAAAGTACATTTTGAGCTGATAGAAGTACCTTAGGAAACATTGAAGTCTTCCTTAATGGAAGAATCATGGAAGTTGGATTTGTTGATTTTTACAGTCCCTTCTAAACTTGGGATTTTAACACTTTTCAAGATGTTATACCTGGTTACGCTATATTGGCATTCTTTATTTTACATTTTGGTTGCACTACGATCTTGCCATATACCATGTCTGCATTGTATAAGAATATTGAAAGAAAGGTCAATTCATTTGATAAACTCTAATAATGATTAAGGACACTATTGCTTCCCCCTTTCTTGTTGTTGTTACGAAATAATAAAATGGACCTTCTTATTGTTAAATGTACTAATTTTGAGAAGATGTAATTTAAATATACTTTTGAAGTTGAAGAACCTGTTTTCTTTCCTTTGTAGATTCTGTCCAAATCTCAACTGCCATCTCAGAATACAGAAGGTAAAGTGTTGTGGACTGGTTGGTTCTGCTGTATATTTGGAGACAGTCTTCTAGAGACTGTTTCAAAAGATTTCACTTGTTTACCCTTGTTCCTTGCAAATGGAGCAGAGTCTAATACGGCCATAATTGGAACTTGGTTTCAGAAAACCTTTGACTGCTATTTTAGTCCCTTACCAATCAATGCATTTAATCTTTCCTGGATGGCTGCTATGTGGACTGCATGCAAAATGGACCATTATGTGGCTACTACTGAATTTCTTTGGTCTGTACCCTGTAGCCCTCAAAGTCTGGACATTTCTTTTGCCATACATCCAGAGGATGCAAAAGCTTTGTGGGATAGTGTCCACAAAACACCTGGCGAAGTTACCCAAGAGGAAGTTGACTTATTCATGGACTGCCTTTATTCACATTTCCATAGACATTTCAAAATTCATTTATCAGCTACAAGATTGGTTCGTGTTTCAACATCTGTAGCTTCAGCACATACTGATGGAAAAATAAAGGTTAGTTGGAACAACTAAATCTAGTTAAGTATTTTTTTCCTAATTGTTACATAGTTTTCAAAATAATTTTATTTCCACATCGAAAGAAACGTTTAAATGTATGTCACTTTGAGACAATAGAGACTATGTTTTAGAGGTAAGCCTTCTAATGAACTTCTCATAGAAGGACACTATATGCTGTGTGCTACAGACTCTGGTAATAATAGGAATTTGAAGCTTTAAAAATTGTTTTTTGACAAATTTTGAAATAATTATGCTAGTAACAGGATTGTGTGCATTAGGTAAAATAATTACAGTCAGAAACACAGAACTTGAAAAAAATGGGCATATTGGGTGCTTACAAAAAACCTCCCAAGGGAGAGGGAGCAATTGGTAAACAAATATAGAAAGTGCTTGTTATTTATGTAAAAATATGGACTTCTTGTTGTTATGTGCTGTTCAGTCGTCTCCTATCGTCAGTGATCCCTCCTTGGGTTTCCGAGGTGGTATCTCTACGGAAGTAAATTGACCAGTTTGCCTTCCGAGGAGTGGCTGGGGGGTTTTGAACTGCCAACCTTCTGGTTAGCAGTCAAGTGCCTTAGGCATTATGCCACCAGAGTTTTTATCCACATTTTTTTTTTATTGTTGTAAAAATATAGATCACATATTTGCCATTTCAACATTTTTCACAGGTAAAATTCAGTGATGCCACCATAAATCATGTTGTGCAACCATCATCAAATTTGTTGCCAAACACATTTTATTTTTAAAATGAAGGAATTGAAGCCAAGAGAGGTTTAAGTAGCACATGCATGGTAGACTTATAAGAGAAGTCATGAAGATTTGACTCATCTTTTAGGTTCCCAAAAGTCCACACTCTTATCTGCTGAACTAGTGCTTTTCAAACTGGAGGTTGTAACACCAGTTATGGTGGGTTGGGAAATAATTTTGATGGGAAGAGGCTAGCATTGAAAAATGGAAAAGGAAAGAAATAAATAAAAAGTAAAAGTAAAAGAGAAGAAAAGAAAAAGAGACCAGCATTAAAAAAAGGAAAAGAAAATTGAGTGCTTTGAATGTGGTAAGTGTTCACTTATGTATGTACTGAGTCATGATGTTAAATTTATTATTAGGGTTTACAGTAAAAAATTTGAAAGACTGTACTATACTAATTACTTTGGTTATCTTAAAGGAAAAATTTAGGTTTTAGTGCCTCAGAATTCAATGTTTGAGAAATCCTTATAATACTTTAAAAATTTTGTTTCCATATTCCACACGTTTTTTAGTAAACTGTATTTAAAAACTATTTCATATAATGTGTAATTATCCATTTATGAATGTAAATTAAACACATTTATTTCTTTAGGTCTATTCTAAATCTCAGAACCTCTCTTGATATGAGACAATAACTGGCTCCTAGATTCAAATAATGCCATGATGATAGTTAACATTTATTGAGCACTGACTCGTGCCAGGGGTTGTTAAGCACTTGATACATATTAACAACCTATTTACATAAAAGGAAACTGAAGCACAGAGCAGATAAATGGCTTCCCTAAGATCATACAGTTAGTGAGAGGAGTCAGAATTTGAACCCAGTCATGTGACTCTAAAGCTTGTAACTTTACTGCAATACTGTCAAAAAGTTTGAAATTAATGTGTTAATCATGTTTCTGCCAGTTTCCACAAGATACATTTTGGAATCATTAAGTTCTTTTGGGACTTAGGAAGTTATGAATTCTTTTTGCAAAAGTAGATAACTCCAATTTTGAATTTAAGACCAAGAGTTCATAGAAGGGTTCCTTCTTGCACCCTTTGGGCAGGTATCCACAAAAAGCAGGATAAGTAAGAACCCTGGTCTAATTATTTCTAAATTCCATTCACTAAGAGTTGTTAATTTATTAAAAGTATAGTCCCTTATTTATTCATTAAATAAAATCATATTCATATCTTGCTGATAAGAGATTTAAATTAGCCTGGAATAATTATTTCTCAACCTACCTTTTACACTGGGGTATAAAGTATTTTTTTCTCAGTTGTCACTTTGTGAAACTAAAATGTACATTGATTTCAGTAACTTAGTGTTAGCACATTTTTAAAAAAGTATAGCTTTTGGGTTAATCACAGTGCACTTAATGACTAAATTCCAGCAATTAATGTAAAATGGATCATTGAAAATCGAACTGCTTTGTTGTCATAATTAATTCTAATTTTAATGTTCTTTTTTTTTTTTTTTCAGATTCTGTGTCAAAAATACCTTATTGGGGTGTTGGCATATTTGACAGAACTGGCAATTTTTCAAATTGAGTGAGGCCTTGTGTGAACTGTATACTTTTGTCTTCATTGATTGCCTTTCTGAGAAACAGTCATCCACTCTGCATGTTTTCCTCACAGTGCCTGTGGAGTGGCCAAGAAGGACCCAGAAGCCAGGTGATGTGTATTAGTCATCTTGATCTGGGATGCCAGCCTGTAGGAAATGCTGAGTGGCTTATTTGTTGGTCACCTCTCTCTCTTTCTTCCTTAAAAAATATAGAATGTTTACTATGCCAACTGTTAATGAGATATCTCTAATATTAGTTATTTCTGATTTGGGTCTATGAAATGTACAATCCCTTTTGGGCATTATAGACTTGCTTTTAGAGAATTTGTGTTTTCTAAAGACTTTCCTAGCATCATTTTGCTGTGGAGAACTGGTAATCAAAGTCCTCACCAAAGGAAACTTCAGATAAATGTGAATGTTTTAGCCACTAACCTGCTTCTGTTTTTAAACTGTTCAGTTCTTATTGTAATGTTGAATTAAATATTCACTTTTAAAGTGAAGCAGAGTGTTATCACTGTCTTGGTAACAGCTCTTTTAATTAATGTCTCAGTAATACACATGAGCCCTGGGGTGCAACAGTTGCATGCTTGGCTGCTAAATGACAGGTTGGCAATTCAAACCCACCCAGCAGTCCTGTGGGAGAAAAGACCTGGCAGTGTGCTTCCATAAAGATTACAGCCTAAAAGGCCCTATTGGGCAGTTCTACTCTATCACATGAAGTCACTATGAGTTGGAATGGACTTGCTGGGAACCAGCAACAATAACAAACATGGGGATCACAGTGAGTCACAATCAACTTGATGACAACTGTTTTTTTTCCTTTTTTTAAAAAGGAAGTTGTAGGCTTTTTCTTTAGCATAAAGGTTACAAACCAACAATTAAATTGAATAAAAATTGTAGCACAGAAAGGCAACAATAAGCCTCTTTTGAGGGAAGAAATGGTCTTGTTTAGCTTTCCTGTCCCCAGTGTTGAGCATTATGCTTGATAAATACCTGTAAATTAAGTGAATGAATTTTAACCAATGCTTCCATTTTACAGATGAAAATTCAAATCAAGTAATGTAAGAGACTCACCCATTATATCTAAATCTCTTCTTTTTACTTACTGAGCACAGAAAGGTTTTGTTTACCTGAGAAATATTTTAAAAAAGTAATTTTAATAGGCTTTTATTCTAAAAGCAAAGACTGAATTGGGTATTATTTCAGATATACTAGGAGCAGCAGAGGTGGTAGAAAGAGCATGGGTTTTGGAGCATTCATTCATTTATTCAATAAATATCAAGCTTCTATTATATGCTTAGAATTGTATTAGCTAACAGGGATACAGCAGTGAGGAAGACTAAAAAAAGTCCCTGTCCTGTAGAAATTATATTCTAGTGAAGGAAGGCAAAAGATAAATAATTTCAGATAGTGATAAATGCTATGAAGAAAATGAGAGCAATATGAAAAAGGGTGACTGAGGTGGGGCCTACTGTATATACAATAGTCAAGAAGATATCTCTGAGGAAGTGACATTTGAGTGAATGGTGAGAGGGAACCAGCCATGTAAAGATCTGAGGAACAGTGTGCTAGGCAGGTGATACAACAAAAGCAAAGGCCTTGAGATAGGAAAGAGCTTGGCTTATTTGAGAAACAAAGGGAACCTGTGTGGCTGGAACAGTAAGGTGGGGAGAGGGTAATATGAAACTGAAGAAGTTATGCAGCAGAGGAGTCTTCCATGGCATTATATTTAGCAAGTTTTGACTAGACCACAATAGATACATTTTCCAGTCTTTCTCACAGATAAATATAGTCATGTAACTGTTTTCACACATACGAAGTGTCAAGAAGAGTTTCCAGGAACCTTCCTTAAAAGGTAGCTGCCATGTATCCTTTACACCTTTTCTTTTTCATTCCTTTTTCCATCTCTGCTGCCTGCAACATTGATGTAATGACTAGCTCCCCTCTTCAATCATGGGGATAAGGGTCAGGTATTAGGGATGGCAAAACATGGTCTGGGAGGAGCTTGTGTCCTGACAACTGTGTGAAGCTGAAGTCCAATGCCAATCTTGAATGGCCTCCCTCCAGACTTATATGTCAGAGAAGTAAACTTCTATCCAGTTTAAGCTACAAGTTTACTGTCATTTTGGGTCTCATTTGTTCATTCATACCCATTGCCATCAGGGAAAACAGTTAAAAAGTTATTACAAATGGTACAAATCCTATGGAGATACAGTTAGCAATATTTAGCAAAATTGTGTGCATTTACCCACTTCTAAGATTCTTTCCTAAAGATTCACTGGGAAAAATATGAAAGGAAGCATGCACAAAATTACTTTATAACAGTGTTTGTAATAGCAAGACTGAAAACCCCAGGTGCCCATCAGAGAGGAACTGGTTGAACAAACTATGGTATAGCTGCACAATGAATTACTGTGAAACTTTAAAAAGGTTAAGGAAACTATCTACTGCCATGGAGTGATCTCCAGGATATATTGTTGTTTGTTTGGTTTTTCTTGTGAAAATACACACACCAAAATATTAGCCAACATAACTTCCACATTTACAATTCAATGACAATGAATTAGATTTTTCATTGTTGTGCTACAGCTATTGTTATGTTTCTTCAAAGTATTCTATCACCTCTCTAGGATACATTAAGGGAAAAGAACAAGGTGTGGACAGAGTATAATATGCTCCCTTTTATGTAAGGAAGTGGAGAAGTATATGTATGTGTGTATGTGCATTTCCTTATGTTTTCAAAAACCATGGAAGGATAAACTAAAAACTTAACAAACATGGGGAAAGGAAGGAACTGAATAGAGGGAACAGAAATACAAGTTAGATAATTTGAATATGCCTTATTTATAGTTTAAAACCATGTAAATGTTTTATATAATAATGAAACAAAATTGGATTTAAAAGGGAAAAAAGCAATCTCTAATAAAGTTAATCATATGAAAGCTTTGTGCATATTTTGTCTAATAATCCAGAAAATTGACTGCATAGTTACTGTGCAGTCAATGGCACACACCTCTGTCATCTGTTTGCTGTGTTGTATTTTCTCCGTGAATATGTTCTACCAAATTTTTGCTTAGCCACATTTGTATGTATACTGACAAATTAATGTAAGTAATTCAGTGGCTTTGTTTCTGTTGAACAGACATGAGATACTTTATTTGCAGCATTTGTATATTTTAAAATATTCTGCCTACATGATGCCAATTTTTCATATAGACCAAAATCAATAAAATGGCAATAAAATATTGGGTGAAAAAAAAAAGAAGCAATCTAAACATTGAAAACAAATTAACCTAGCTGTTAGGTTCATGGCATTATCACACAAATAATTATTTTTAATATCTTTAAATCACAGTATTTTGACTATACATCTTTGTTGTTGTTGTTATTTGCCGTTGAGTCGGCCCCGATACATCTTTAGTGGGCTGTAAAAAGAGTTAAAAAGCATTACTCCAAACAAAATTTTTATGGTAAATACTACCTTTATTTAAAAAAGTTATACATGCTAGAAAAAAGCATAAATGATACATGTAAACAATTGTTTACCAAATACTTTTTTTTTCCTTGTAAAGGTGCAAATGATCTTTAAATGTAAACACAAAAGTTGCCAAACATTTTTGTAGAGGGAGGAGGAGAAGGTTATTCCTTTTTGGTTGCATTTAATGTCTTATTCAAACATTTTCCTGCAAAAAACACTGAAAAAAATTTGCCTATGAACACAATAAAGAAAAAAAAAACCACTGATTTTTTTTTCTCCCTTAAAATGTTTTAACTCTTCACCAGAAAGTGCAATTTGAGAGAAGTAGTAGCAGTGGGCTTGCAGAATGAAGATAATGATAGTTTGTATAAAAGAACCAAGATAATATTAATAAAATGCCTCAGCTGCTATATTCATTAACACGTACTATTACATAAACTAAAGAATTCATTCCCTTGGAGGCTATTGTAGCCTCAGTTTCATCAGGCCTGAACATCAAGTGTAAAGAATTGCATAACAGTATTCACTGATGGGGAGAGGACATTTCTGCCTTCTAGTCCTTGGTCTGGTAGCATAGTGGCTAAGACAATTGCCTGCTAACCAGACGGCTGGCGGTTCAAACCCACCAGCCACTCCTCGGAAGGAAGGTTGGGCAATCCTACTTCCGTAGTGATACTGCCTCGGAAACCCAAGGAGGGGTCGCTATGAGTCAGGTTTGACTCGACGGCACATAACAACAACAACAACAACAGTCCTTGGTAGCAATAAGGAAACAGGAAGTAAAGTTGATTCAGTTGGTAATGTTTTTGAGCAATAACTCTGGCAGAGTTGCACAGGATTCTTTTGGGTGATTCTCAAGACAGCCTGAGACTCATCTGCTGTATTATTTTAAAAGAGGCACTGAGAAGAGCTCTAGATCTAGCAGAAGAAACTCTTCGAGAATATTATGAAAAAAGACTTAAATACAGCAGAAAACGTTGTTGTTGTTGTTACGTGCCATTGAGTCGGACCTGACTCATAGCGACCCCTCCTTGGGTTTCCGAGGTGGTATCATTACGGAAGTAGATTGCCCAACCAACCTTCCTTCTGAGGAGTGGCATTAGGTTCATATAATAGAAGGAAACAACATTCAAACTTCCACTGATGAAAACTGTTATCACCGAGTCCTGATTTTACTGATTTAGTATTTCTTATGAATTATACTATTAAAATGAAATGTCCCCCCCCCCGCCCCTCTTTTTTAAAAAAATAAGACTTCCAAGTCTTCTGGTGCTTTAAGTGCAAGAATGATGGTTAGATAATTCGTTTTGCTTTCTATCTTTGTCACTGGTCCTCCTTAGTTGAATCTAATTGGGTGATGAAACAACCTGGGTGAGTAGTTACAGGCTCAAAAAAAAAAAAGAGTTACTTGGATGGAGTGTCTAGAAATAACAACCCAGATCATCACAGCCCTTCTCCTCTTACCAGTATTTTCAAACATAATCTATACCTTAAAAATAAAGTTTTGCTACTTGGAATTTTTATCATTTTTTTTTCCTTTTTCAGTGGGAGGAAGATAAGTATACAAAAAAAAGTACATGATAAATTAAAACAAAAAATAAATATTCTTCTTCACAGGGTTGAAAATTATTGTGCAAAGGTGGCATCTTGCAGGTGAAGTACTTCACTGGATCTATAATATGATATGTTGAGGCACCGGCAAAGAATAAAATTTGTTGTAATGTTTTCTTGAGTTGTACAAAGCTCCAAAGTCAAAGCTCTCCAGAATATGGAGGAGCATATACACGAGTGTCTTCTAGATGGTTACCATATATGGGACTCACAATGTGTCATTTTAATAACTCCTACGCCACCCCCTAGTCGACGGTAATTCATCCCGCCATATAACCTGCAACGAAAGAAAGAAAATCAGATTTCCTCATTGGTAAAAGTACTATTTCTTCTATTAAATAAGTTAATCAAACACATGCTTCTATGTTTTATATCACAACTAATATTTTCAACTTTATACATTTCTTCTAAAGATTAGAAGTTGGAATCGAGCGATGGTAAGAAGCATAATTAATTCAGACATTGACTGAACTGTTCTCACTTACGAGAATAAGAAACCATATCTATTTTTTTTTTTATCATAACTTTACACCTTGACTGGCTTCTAATAATTACACAGAATCATATGTTCTGTCTGCATCTAATTTTGCCCTGGGCTATATTATTTTCTCATCCACATTTTTCCTTTGCCTAAACTTCCTTGATTACTTACTCTTTTGTCTTCTATGTACTCTTGTAACCCTTTACAAAAAAATGAGTATGAATAAATAAAGGCAGCACATAGTTTGTGACACGTGAACAAGATCATCTTCAAAATTAAGCATTTCCATGGAAAAGAACGCTAGATGTCTAACAGCTGTGTGGTAAATGGTTTTAAATTTGAGATACGTAATTATAAAAATTTAGAGTTTATCCTCAGGAATGTCATGAATATTGTGATAGCTGGAGCTTTGTGTCAACTTGGCTGGACCACAATTCTGTGTGGGTTAAGCAATTGTGATGTGGGTTGTCCAATGATGGGATCAAATGTATATGTTTAGAGAAGCCAATCCATTGAAAGGGAGTTTTCCTAGGGGTGTGGCCTGCTTCCAGTATATTTATGGACATCCTGGGAAAAGAGACACTCTTCTGTGGATTGGGATTCTGCCTACAACTGTCCGTGAGCAAACAATCCACCATTTGGCCTGGAGATCTTAGATTCATCATTTGTTGGAGTCAACAGCCTGTATACTGCCTGCCAACACTGAGCTCCTCAGCCTCAGCAGCTGCATGAGTAGGTAAAAGCCTCCAGCTTGACGTTTGATCCAAGAACTTGGGACTTGCCAACTTTTATAAGTGTGTGAACCATTTTACTAAGATAAATTTCTTTCTATCTATATATAAGCTTTATTGGTTTTGTTTCTCTAGAGGACCCAGTCTACCACAAACATTAAAAAAAAAAAAAAAAGTCCAGGTGATTTTGATTGATAGCAACCCTTTAGGAACTAGAACTGCCTCACAGGGTTTTCCCAAAGCTGTAATCTTTTTAGAAGCAAACTGACACATCTTTCTCCTGTGGAGCTGTGGGTGGGTTCAAACCGGATGTTGGTTAGCAACTGAGCTTTAACCACTGTACCACCAGGGCTCCTTTCATGATCGTATTCATGAAATTCTTGAGGATAAGCTGTTAAGAGATGACTTGGTCATATATAATTAATACTTTTTAGTGACACTAAGAAACAGGTCCTTACATAGGATCATAATAAGTGGCAGAACTAAATTTGGCTTACTTTCCAAATAATGCTTACATAAAATTCCTACTATACATAAAAGTTGTAAGTGGGGGCAAAAAAAAAAAAGCAGAAGGCTCCTATACATGAAAACATGCCATTATCTATCCCTTACCTCTATCAGGCTTTGCTAAAATGTTACCTTTTCAGTGAAGCCTTCTGGACCACCTTTAAAAACTGACTTGCTTCCCTATACTCCTTATCCTCCTTGCTTTGCTATTCATTACAGCACTTCTACATCCTGGTATGGTGCAGTTTGTTACCCTCACTACAACTTCAGCTCCATGGGTTTTTTTTCACTTTGTCTTCTTAGGGTCTAGAATACTCAATAAATCTTTACTGAATGAACAGGACTGTGAAAATGTGATGTAGAAGCAAAAAATAGACCGTCAGCAGCCTGATTTTAGTATTGTGACCACTGAGCCAAACCGAGCCTTGAGATATGCACAGAATCCAAAGGATGTCATTTAAATATCTATAAGAGTTATGGCTTTCCCAGAGATGAATGCTTAGTAAATTCATTAGCTGAATCTAATTGGGTAATGAAGCAACCTGGATGTGTAGTTATAGGTTCAAAGTCAGGAAATGTGCAATAAAAATACAGAGGGAATGGAGTGACACGCCCCTTTTGAAATAGCGACTAAAATAGGGCTCAGCTTTCCTTCTGTGGTTTTAAGAAAAATCTCCCAGAATGTCTGCTGCTCCAGGTCTCGTTTCTGATACCATTAATATCTCTGCTACCACTGGGGTGGTCAGCCTAAACTTGGCTAAACAAATTTATTGTGAAAGAAACCCCAAATTGCTTGGGAACGCAAAATTGGTTTCTTAGAAGGCTACTATTTAGAATTAAGTATAAAGATGAAGTACATCAAACTTACAGTGTTAATATTTTATGTTTGAGAATTAACTATATATTTAGCATTTCAAGCATCAATTAGATTTAGTCTTGTGAGTCCAGTATAAAATATGTGATTGAGTAAAGATTTAGAGTTCCAGGTTGAAAGATAGAGAATTTTGCTAAGTTCATGAAAGTTTTGAATACTTAAGAGTTACCAGATTTGTGTACATTTATAAGAACTGCTAAGAATACAGCAAAGATTTATTAGACAATTGACAATTTAAAAGCAAAATAAAATTGAACCTATCAAGGTAGCCTCTTCCCTAAAAGTGATTGTTAAAATTGACTAGGTTTTAAAATACAATAATAATACATTTAATTTTAAAAGCTCAAGGAAAAAATGGGTTTTGAAAATGAAACAAAATATTAAAAACAGTAAGTAACTGCAATTTGTTTTTCCTGGGCATAAACATTAAAAAAAAAAAAAAAAAAAAAATTACACTGACAGACTGGAAGCCAAAGACCTAGGTTCTAATTCTAACTCTGTCACTAACTTCCTTAGGGAAGCAATTTTTATTTCTCGGTGCCTAAGCGTTCTCAGCTGAACATGATGGAGTTAGAGGAGTGTTTTTCTGTTTTTTCAAGCTCTGATTATAAAAGTAGTTACCAAAGAAGAATTCTGTAAGATGTCAAGCACTTTATAACAATCAAGTCAAATTAAGCAATCAAGTATGGGTGACTTCAAGCCCTTTTGAAAGTACTTCAAGAGGTACTTCAGTGTACTGGCCATCGTGATTTTGATGGTCATGGACTATTTTAAGCCTGTGACTTTCAAGTCAGCAGTGACATGATTTGCAACACAGCTAAAACGTTACCTCCATGTATTGGCATCAGGATCAAAAACTTCAATGGTCTTCAAGTATGTTGTGCCATCAAAACCTCCTACTGCCATGAGCTGCCCATTCACCACTGCCAGGCCAACCTATAGGACCAAAACACAGTGGATGCTGGAGAAACCAGACAATTACTGGGAAAATTTAAGACTGGTTTCTAGATAAGTCTCTAATAGATAATTCTTTATGGCTTTATATTCTGGTTAACTTGAACACAGAAAGTAATGACAAAAAAATCTATTAAGTTATGGGAACTATAAAATTATATTCAATTAGAACATTTACAGAGTCCAAAACAGATATTTCTTAAATTTTAGGAAAACATTCACTGAGAATATGCAAGAACCTCTAAATTGTTTTTACTTCCTCTGATATATGCCTGCTCTAATTCACCCTAAATTTTCTACTAATACTCTTTTAAAAATAACAATGCTGTTACTTTCTTCCTTAAAAACTATAAGCAAAGGGCTTTCCCTAAAAAAGAAATATTCTTTGATTGGTTACCAGGGGTAGGTATGGAGGGGAGGTTAAACCACTAACTAGAGGGTAGACACATATTTATTAATTTGAGTGAGGGGAAAGGTTAAAACAAAAATTAGTTAATGCAAAAATACAAAATACTCAGTGAACAACAACAAAAATAAACTTTCTAGGCCTCCCTTCTGCCTAAGTATAAGTTTAAAGTTCTTATTATGTTATTCAGGACCTTTAGAAATTGATCCTAACCAACTGCTGTAGCCTCACCTACATTTTCCCCTTCCTCCTAACACACTCTGTGCTGTAGTAATACTGATGTAATTGCTAGTAGTCCCTGAAAGGACTATGCAATTTTCACACCTCTATACTTTTGCACAGATCACTGGGTGGTGCAACAGTTGGCACTTGACTAACTGAACGGTTGGGTGTTTGAACTCACCCACAGGCACCTCAGAAGACAGGCCTGATAATCTGATTCCAAAAGGTCACGGGTTTGAAAACTACGGACACTTCTACTCTGCACATATGGGGACTTGACAGCAATGGGTTTATTTATTCATTTATTTTTTGGCTTTTGGTTTTGCCTAAAAGGAAGCCAATAGCACTAGATAACACAGTTAAAAATAAAACACCTAGGCATCAGTAGTTCACATCCTCACTCTATAATGTAAAATATTTTACAGATCTGAGCTCTCTTTCTGCAAAACCCACTCTTTGTGCTTGTTTTTGAAAGCCCTAAACCTCAGTAGCTGGGGAAGTAGATAGAAAGCACTCACTCCACTACGGCGGGATGTCATGGCCACCACTGGAGACCACTGGTTGGTTCTGGGATTGTATCGTTCAGCGCTGCTAAGCTCTGTTGTGTCGTCTCTACCTCCTACGGCATAGATCATGTCCTGATACACTGCACAGCCTAGGTGTTTTCTCCGGGTCCCCATAGGGGCTATGGTATGCCATCTGTTTTCCTGAGGATTATAGCGCTCCACTGTAGGGGGAAAAAAAAATTAAACCATTTCTCTTCATCACTACTTATCCTCATAGTCCCAAAATTTTGTGATAACAGATTTTCAATACGTTATCTGATTTCTGCTTATTGAAAAAAAGGACTTGTATAACTTTGCACAAAACCACATGCACTCTCATACAGTATTGGTTTCTTTCAGGTAGGTATGGTGGAAAGGGCATGTTGTTGGAGTCAAGACATGTGAGTTCTGTTGTTGTTGTTAGCTGCTGTCAAGTTGGCTCTGACTCATAGTGACCCTGAGTACAACAGAATTAAACACTGTGCCTGGTCGTGCACCATCCTCATCATCCTTGCTATACCTGAGCCCATCGTTGCAGTCACTGTGTCAATCCATCTCATTGAGGGCCTTTCCCTTCTTTGCTGACCCTCCACTTGACCAAGCATGATATCCCACTCCAGGGAATGGTCCCTTCTGACAACATGACCAGATAGATGAGCTGAAGCCTGGTCTTTCTTGTTTACAAGGAGCATTCCAGTTGTACTTCTTCCAGGACAGGTTTGTTTGTTCTTCTGGAAGTCCATGGAATTTTCAGTATTCTTTGCTAACACCATAACTCAAAGCCATCAATTCTTCTTGTTGTTGTTATGTGCTGTTGAGTCGGACCCGACTCATAGCGTCCCCTCCTTGGGTTGCCGAAGCAGTATCACTATGGAAGTAGATTGCCCAACCTTCCTTCTGAGGAGTGCCTGGTAGGTTTGAACCGCCAGCCTTCTGGTTAGCAGTCAAGTGCCTTAGGCACTACACTACCAGAGCTCAATTCTTCTTAGGTCTTCCTTATTCATTGTCCAACTTTTATATGCATATGAGGTGAATGAAAATACCATGGCTTGGGTTAGGTGCGCCTTAGTCTTTAAAGTGACATTTTTGCTCTTCAGCACCTTAAAGAGGTCTTCTGCAGCAGATCTAAGTTCTACAAGTAAGTTCTAGTTCTGGCTATGGCACTAATTAGCACAGTGACCCTCGGCCCCTCTCTTCTTATCTCTAAATGAGAGGAATGAACTATCTTTCGCCATCTTTCATTAGTAATGATTTATTATCATAATCAGACTTCTGTATTCCTGTACTCATGTGCCCATAGCCTAATGCATTCAAATCGCTGAAGAAGAGAAGACAAGATATATAACAATATGATGCTAGCATCCTATTGATGATATCCTTAAGCAAAAATACCCTATGATCTCAAGAGACAGGATTAACAAATCAGTTTCTAGTTAATTTTTTTTTTTAAATTTTTAGATTATTATATGGTTTCTTTTTTTGGTGTGTTTTATTTATTTTTGAGGCAAGATGGTGGCAATGATGGGGGAAGAGAAGTAATCATATTTGGAAAATAGTTTTTAATTCATTGTAAATTTCTAGCATCTTATAAGAGAGAAAGAAATATTTTGGGAATGTATTAGAAGACTATGGGTATAGAAACAGTTAAGGAAGAGCTGAGAGTTATACTTTCCTAGAGGGAAAGTAAAATATTTTCCTAATAAGTTACAGGATAATCTGGATTCTATACTTTTTATTGAGGAACACTCCTAAGGAAAATGTGTAGGCTTGGGGAAAACACACTGACTTTGGAAAGGACTAACCTGTATTGAGTGGTGATGTCCCATCAGAGCCACCTACAGCATATAAAAATCCTCCTAACACAGCCACTGCTACGCCTAGTCTTCTGGTACTCATAGAAGCCACTCGAGTCCACTTGTTCTCCTTTGGATCATACCTAGTGAGAGAAACCAAAGACTGCATGTTCTTATCAAAGAAATCTTTTTCATGTAGTCTAAAATTACAACAAAGGATATTGGATATATTGACTTGTTATCATCAAATGCATACTGAAAATCTAATATATTTTACTTACCCACTGCCATCAAGTCAATGCCAACTCATAATGACAATATAGGACAGAGTAGAACCGCCCCATAGGGTTTCCAAGGCTGTAAATCTTTACAGAAGCTGGCTGCCTCATCTTTCTCCCATGGAGTAGCTGGTGGGTTCGAACCACCAACCTTTTGGTTAGCAGCTGGATGCTTTAACTACTATGCCACCAGAGTGCCTATATTTTACTTAGTTACTAGGAAAAAGGATCTTAGGATTTGTACCTGTGCATTACTAAACTCTTTTCTATACACTGAATTATGATGTTGGGACTAGAAGTCTGCAAACTACATTTCTCCTTTGCCAGCTGGCTCTCAGATTCTGCCAAATAGAGGGACAGTTGTTGTTATTATTGTTATGTGCCGTGGAGTCGGATTCGACCCATAGTGACCCTCCCTTGGGTTTGCGAGGCTGTATCACTATGGAAGTAGATTGCCCAACCTTCCATCCGAAGAGTGGCTGGTGGGTTTGAACTGCTAGCCTTCTGGTTAGCAGTCAAGTGCCTTAGGCACTACACTACCAGAGCTCCCAATAGAGGGACTAGAGGAGGGAAAAGGGACTTGCTGCTTTCTGTTTGCTTGTTGTTCCTGTCAGTGCTGTCCCAGCAATGGTCCCTCACCCTGAATGTATGTTCCACTTGAGTTCAGTATCAAGCCTTTTCCCAGCATTCCCAGAACTAGCCTCATTGTGCTTTCTCAGATGTCTGAGTCACCTCCTCTGAACTCCTGAGGAAATGCCACCAGCATTCTAGTAATCTACTGTTGTATAACAAATCACCCTAAAACTCAGTGACTTAAAACAACAATAATTTTTGTTTCCATGACTCTGGAATTCAAGAAGAACTTCACAGGGAAGTTCTAGCTCAGGCTTCATATGGCTACAGTGAAAGGGTGACTGGAGTTGGAACAGTAGGGGATGGAAGCAGTTAGAGGCTGATTGGGCATCTCTTTGGGTCTCTCAATGTAGTCTACTTTTGGCTTCCTCACAGTATGGTCATCTCATGACAGCTCATGGTTTCAAAAGTGAATGTTGCAAAACACTATCTGCCAACGACTAAGGGACTTCTGGAAAGATGGTAGAATAGGCGGATAAGCTACACAAACCCTCTTCAACAAAGGAAAGAGAAACCAATTGACAAAGATACAGAAGAAAATCCTGGAGCCCTGAGCTTTGAAAGGAAGTATACAGAAGTGGATTAGGAACAAACTAGTGGAAAATACTGAACGAAAACAGCAAGTATGGAGATGATTGGAGCAGTGGGCTGTCAGCTACTCTGATGGGACCAACAGCCTGAATACTTCCAAGTGGTGTTGGGACCTGAAAATTGACCTAAAGAACAGCCTTGGTTGCCAAGGGCTGCAAGGATGACTGTGCTGGTGGCCTATGACTAGGAAGGGAAAGAGCAAGGAGGGAGCTGTGGACTTTCGGCTGTCCTGAAGGTGCAGGCATTTTAATTGTTTACAAGCCATGGCCATTTTGGATGTTAAAGTGAAGGCATTCTCATTCGGATTCCAGGGACCTAAAAATGGGCTCTGTTTGTTAAGGATGCCAGGGACATTCGGGAGGCTGACAACAGGAAAGGAAACAGGTGGTGAGTGTATAAGTGCTGCCAACTAGCAAACAGAGGACCACAGCACAGTACCTTGCTTATGTAGATAACATACAAACAAAACAGAAAACAAAAATTGTGGGCAAGTCACTCCAACATACAATCACCAATTAAATATAAACACAAAAATGTCACAATGCCTCAGAGACAACAGAGCATCACCGTCCACACAAAGAAGCAAGATAAAGCAGGAGAAACAAGTGACCAGGATACAGACCCAAAACACATTCCTGAGGAAGATGCAGCATTGGAACTCCCTGATGAGGAATTTAAAAGTATTACAGTTAGGTATCTTCAACGAATTCACAGAAAGACCAAAGAAAACACTGACAAAACTGAAGAAAACACAGAGAAAATCCTAGAACAATTTTGAAAGACAATACAAGAATAAAATGACAAAATCAATGAAAAATTAGAAATGATACAAAATCTACAGACAGAAATCCAGAAGATTAACACTAAATTTTCAGAAATAGGCAACACATTGAATGGACAAAGGAGTAGAACTGAATCAATGGAAGACAGGATTAGTGCCCTTGAAGGCAAATACCTCCATACTTGTTCGAAAGGGATCAATCAGAAAAAAGATCAAAACAAAATAAAGAAAGCCTAAGGTTCATGTGGGATACCATCAAAAGGAATAACCTATGTGTAATCAGAATTCCAGAACAGGAAGAGACAAATTAAACCACAGAGAAAATTGTCGAAGATTTGTTGGAAGAGAATTTTCCTGGTATGATGAAAGATGAGAATATATCCATTCAAGAAGTCCAATGAACCCCAAGTAGGATAGACTTCAAAAGAAAATCACCAAGACATATCATCATTAAACTCACCAAAACCAAAGACAAAGAAAGAATCCTGAAAGCAGCATGGGAAAAACCATAGGTGGGTGGGGAGAGGAGGGAACACTGCAAAGGGAAAAAAAAAAAATGCAACGACCCATGTGACTTTAGTTTTGTGTATTTCACTGTACATAAATTATATTTCAACAAAATGCATTAAAAAAAAAAATACCATCTGCCAAAACCAACCAGGCAGATACCTTTCCATGGAGGTATGAGTCACAACTGTTTAGTGTACCTGGTCTGAACTCCAGAAGTAGCAGCAGCAGCTAGGTATCATCACCCCCCTCAGATGCCGACGGTAGTAGCTCTGTGGTTTCTAGGTTCCTCCTAGTTTCTAGGTTCTAATAACTCTAATCTCTTTTCCAGCCCTAGGGTTCCTGCAGCTGTTAGCCAATTCTTTTTATTAAAATTTCTATCAAAGTAACTGGTATGATTTCTGCTTTCCTTAAGAGAATTCAGAAATAAAAGCCATCACTTGGAATACTGCTGGGCATCTTTTTTTGTTGTTGTTGTTAGGTGCCGTCAAGTTAGCTCTAACTCATAGTGATCTTATGTACAATAGAACAAAACACTGCCTGGTCCTGCACCAGCTTCATAATCCTTGCTACACCTAAGCCCATCATTGCTGCCACTGTGTCAATCCATCTCCTTGAGGGCCTTCCCTTTTTTCAATAACCCTCCACTTTTCCAAGCATGATATCCTTCTCCAAGGAATAGTCCCTTTTGACAACATGACTAAAGTAGGTCAGATGAAATTTGGACATTCTCACTTCCAAGGACCATTCTGGCTGCACTTCTTCTAGGACAGATTTGTTAGTTCCTCTGGTAATCCACAGTATTTTCAGTATTCTTTGCCAACACCACAACTCAAAAGCATGAACTCTTTTTTGGTCTTTTTTGTTCAATGTCCGGCTCTCACATGCATATGAGGCGACTGAAAATACCATGGCTTGGGTTAGGTGCACCTTAGTTTTCAAAGAGACATCTTTGTTCTTTAGCACTTTAAAGAGGTCCTTTGCAGCAGATTTGCCCAGCACAATACATCATCTGATATTTTGACTGCTGCTTCCATTGGTGTTGATTGTGGAACCAAGTAATACGAAATCTCTGACAACTTCAATCTTTCCTCCACTTATCATGATGCTGCTTATTTGTCCAGTTGTGAGGACTTTATTTTCTTTATGTTGAAGTGTAATCCATACTGCAGACTGTAGTCTTTAGTCTTCATCAGTATGTGCTTCAAACCATCTTCACTTTCAGCAAGCAAGGTTGTGTCATCTGCATATCACAAGTTGTTAATGAGTCTTCCTCCAATCCTGATGGTGTATTCTTCATATAGTTCAGCTTCTTGGATTATTTGCTCAGCACACAGATTGAATAAGTATGGTGAACAACCCTGATACACTTACTTCCTTATTTTAAACCAGAAAGTATCTTCTTGTTCTGCTCAAATGACAACCTCTTGGTCTAGGTACAGGCTCCTCATGAGCACAATTAAGTGTTCTGGAATTCCCATTCTTCTCAGTGTTAGCCATAATTTGTTATGATCCACATATAGTTAAATGCTTTTGCACAGTCAATAAAACACAAGTAAACATTTTTCTGGTATTCTTTGCTTTCAGCCAAGATCCATCTGATAATGACAATGATATCCTGCATAACGTTTTCACTGACCACACTTTGAGAAGTGGATGGTCCCTTCCTTCTTCTGAGTCTGTCTTAGTCTGGAAACCTGCCCACAATGGGTGACCCTGCTGGTGTGAAAATACCAGTGGCACAGGCTCCAGCCTTGCAGTAACATGCAAGCCACCACAGTACAGCAAACTGACAGATGAGTGGTAGTCTTATAATTTTTTTTAATTATTTTTTTTGGAGCTCAGTTTCTATGTATCTTTTTGTTGTTGTTGTTGTTATTGTGATTTGGGTGAAGATTTACAGAGCAAATTCACTTTCCATACAGCAGTTTACATATACTTTGTCTCATGACATTGACCACAATTTACCACAATACAACAGCTCCCCTCCCACTTCCTCCCCATAGTTACCTCTTCCCAGTGTCCATCCCTCCATG